AAATTTATCTCGAAATTTTACACGAAAACCGCTGTATTCAATATGTATATATACTTTACATATAATATCAATGATTTTTTTTTATATCAACTGAACTATATAGAACACACATACACATTTTTCAAATGGCTTTAAATTCTTGTCTTTTGCACTTAGAGGATGGAAATTTGCACTTAGAGGATGGCTAGTCTAAGCTTTTGCAGTACAAACCATGACATAAAAAATAAACGAATAACGCATAGAAAAAACAGGCAACATTCAACATTGCTATTAATATAGTATCAGGAGTTTGCATATTTAAATGGAACTCTTTTGGACAATTACAAAACTCAAAATCAAAGGGGTACCTAATTTAAAAAAAATGTTAATCAGAGATATCATCCATAACTTACACTACTGGGCCGGGATCTCCTCTATGGCTTTGCCTAACTTTCAATTAAGCACAGTTTCACAGTAATATATCTATCCTAATGGATTGTTCACAATTTTTTTCGTTTTCTTTATAAAACCAAGGCACGAGACGAACAATTCGTGCACCTGGTGATAACCGACATGATAGCCCACCCACGACAGTTGCAGTGCTATTCAGAGTTTAAAATCGCAAAGACCTGAGGGCCACTGCGCCAGTCATCCTAGGACATAAGTTGATAATTCCCATGTGATCATAATTTCACCCTTCAAAACGAGAATACTGTAGATAGATGCAGTAGCAGTAGAGCTCCTTGTGAGAGAGTTCGTCCAGGGAAGTACTGCGACATTACCTATTTCTACAGCCAAGCAGTAATGTAAGCATTACAGCGTTCCGGTTTTGAAGAGGCTGGTGAACAAGTACGTGGGACTTGTCAACTTATGTCTCAGGTTGAAGGGCGCAGTGACAGTGCCCCTCAGATCGATTTAAAGCTCTGAATGGCATTGCAACTGTTGCTATGGTTACTCTACCACGAGGTGCTTTACTGTTATAAATACTTTACTGTACCCATTTGCATCACCATTATGTACACACGCCAGCAGATCAAGCTACACATTGACGTATCTTGTTCCGTTGCACTGGAGGCGATTTTCGAACAAAAATGTGTTGTCTAATGTGCCGTTATCCGTACATATATAAGTATACAGCAAGTAATCAGATGTTTAGTTAAAGAAAAATATTGAAATTTGATTGATTAGAAAACTTTGAAAGGAAAAGGGTCGAAAGCTTCATTGACGGCTCAGAAGCTTTCTAAAACTGCTTTCTGAGTACAGTATAAGAGCACTTTATCCGAAAAACGCTTCTTTTTAAGTGTCTATTCACACGCTTCGTAAAAAGCATCAAAAGATCTTTATTTATTTTAAGTTTAAAAGAGAAAAGTTCTAAAGCTTGTATTCATGCAAAATTACGCTTCTACAATAATTTTGAGTATTAAAAAAGCATACTAATTACATTATTGTCAATGGAAATTGAAGTTTTTTCTTAGTGTTCGATCTTTGTATTAATAATTATAACAAACTAGTAGAATAATTTTACAAAAAATAATATATAATAAAGACGGCAAATAAGAAATTACTAACGAGAGTTTGTCAAAAGCCCGAAGCCGAAGGCTAAGGTCTTTAATGACTCGAGGTTTGTAATTTTGCCGCCCGTGCTACATACAATATTTTTCATCACATTTGGGTGAAAATAGACACAACGATAATTTATTTCTTTTAGAAGTAGATATCGCTTCACAACACAACATTGACGGATTGTGAAATGGTTGGTTGTTTGTTTCTTTTTTTTTTTGGTACTGTTTTTTCCAATGGAAAAGGCAAAGGCACTAATGCGCCATACAGCCAAGGTTTTTTTTTAAACAGATTGCCAGCTATTCTTCCATAGATAATACAACTCGAACTAAGCCACAATATATTTGATAAGTATAAAATAAATAATTTCTAAATTCTACAAAAATACTACCGAATTTTAATGTGTTTAGTTTTTACTTCAAGTTTATGCGAAAAATGCGTTCAGATTTTTCGAGCCTAAAAACTTTTTGTTTAATCTAGACGTAGAATATTCTTAGATCAATAATGTAATGAAAAAGCCCGTGGGCATCATTTCGAACATTACGGTCGACTTTGCATTTCATGATACTTTACCTCTTAACATTTTAACTGCCTCCTGACTTTTTAGTTTAACTACCTCCGTAGCCGAACGGTTACCATGCTGGTCCCGGGTTCGATTCCCGGGCCGGGAGACATATTTGTATGGCCTACATTTATTTCTCTCATGAGTTTGAATGTAACGACAGAATGAATGCAGGTTTCCTTACAATTTTTTCCTTCACCAAAAAGATCAAGGTAAAAGATGATGGCCCACGAACATTGACTTACAATTATATGGACGTCGGGTCCGCGCTAAAAAGTGTCCGAACTTATAGGGCGTTAAAATCGTATACAGAGCGTCATTCACGCTTTAGTCTTCGTTTGTTCGACTGACAGCGAAGCAAGCAAAATTAGACAGTACTGCGATGACATTACAATTTAAATTCAACGTTTTAGCTTTTTCATATTCCTTTACATGTCACTACGTTTAAATAGGTTGACTTGGGACATTTTTTTCGTGATTTTTGTATAAGACCCGTCGTCCATTTATTTGTAAGTCAATGCCCATGAAAGAACAAAAACCATACCCACGCGACGTACAGAAACGACATATGGTTAGATTTATAGAAAAATATGTGTACTTTATAATGGTTTGTGTCGCTTCAGTGTGGGTAGTGGGAATTATGAAATTAAAAAATGTATTTTTATGAAAGTAAAAATGTACGTTAGTGCAAAATATTTGTGTGTTTTGCATTTATTGTCGATCACCCAAAGAACGATTTCGGTCTTATCCCTTCTATAACTGACCGCGCAGGTTCGCGTGCGAGTGTGATGGTATGTCTGACAATAGGTAATCTAATTAAGACCCATTTCTTCGACACGAATTTCATCGCGCTAATCCCGCACGATGGCCGAGGGAGTCCGCGTCTTAACTGTCATGGCGAAATACGCTCTATTTATTCAACTTTTACGTTTTAACCTAAATGAGCATCCAGGGTACGCGCGCGGTTGTATTATTCAGAGGAATTTAAATGTTGTTGCCTAATAATAGAATTCAGATTCGCCATTAATGTACATGAAGGCGTGGTAAATGGACGGTCTAACTGGGTTCTTAAAGTTTTCATACTAATAAAAATATGTTTAATATCCATTGACTTACAAATAAATGGACGACGGGTCTAATACAAAAACCACGAAAAAAATGTCCCAAGTCAACCTATTCGAAATTTAAATTGTAATGTCATCGCAGTATCGCGATGTCAGTAGAACAAATGAAGACTAAAGCGGAGTTTGGCGCTCTGTATACGATTTTAGCGCCTTACAAGTGCGGACACTTTTTAGCGCGGACCCGACGTCCATATAATTGTAAGTCAATGTTAATATCAAATCTTTATTGCCCTGTTACGTGTTAAACCGGTAGATTTTTCAATATTATTTAACCGACTTCAAAAACAATTAATTCGGCTGCTTTCTTTAATGTATGTTAGGCGTATGCTTTTTTGTGGACCGATTACGATTAAAACTTAGCGTCGCCATCATCTCTAAAGTCCCGGGTTCGATCCCCGGCCGGGTCAGTGAAGAAAATAACTTTTCTATATTGTCTCGGGTCTGGATGTTTATGGTACGGGGTACGAATCAGAGCAGCGTATGTGGTGTTTGTCTTAAATATACTAGGCCAAAATTGCTCTTCGGTACAATCGGTCTACATTTCCCGATCGGTCCACATTACATTACATATGCATGTAAATTAATAAAATTTTACAATAAAAATCCATTTTGGAAATTTTCAAAGGCAAAATTTTACACAGATCTTGTGTCGACAAGCGTCCGATGGCGACTAGCTCGGCAATGGGCGGTACGGCGTGTCGTTAAACGTATGAGTTTTCTTCGAAGACTCCTAAACTATTCGATTTAACAAAACAGTTGTTCCCACTTCTCCTCCGGCGAGTCAGGCCTAAAACCTTTTTACCTCAGGGGCAACACACAAAAATATCATTATTTTATATAATTATAAATAATACGTGTATTCTCGATTAATCACTTCATGACTTTATAAAATAAGGTTTTTGTTCAAAATCTATACTGGGATACTTCTTTTCAATTTAAACGTTTCCACGTTCAAAGTCTGGTTACTCAAATTGGTGACCTTCCATCCGCCGTCAGGGTACACACGGCTGCTGAACACTACTTCTCCTTCTCCACAAAACAGCTCCAAAGTACTGGCATCTAGGAATATTCTCCAGGATTTATTCTCAGTGGGAACCCATTCAACTTGTCTAACGTCATTGTTTCCTCTGTCAACTGATACTTTCTTGGTTGTTGGACTCCAACGTAACCAAACCTTTTGACCACCATCAATCCCAGTCAGTAATAGCTCTACGTTCTTATCCAAACTGTTTTCAAATAAAATTTCTGCTGTCTTATCAAAACTAAGGTCTTGGTTTGTCATCCAATCGCCAGCTATGTATCCTTCTTCTTCTCTCAAGCTCGCCATATCTTTAACAGGCTTCATCAAGATACGATTTTCATAAAGCTCCATTTCTCTTACAATTGTCATAGCTCCAGACCAACCATCTGTTTCTTCTAGATGTGGTGCTTCCCACATATTAAACCAACCAACAACATATCTTCTACCATCGTTTTCAGTCGTCTGAGCAGCATAGAAATCATGGCCATAGTCTAGTTCTTGGAATTCTACTTCAGGTATAAACTCAAATGTAGCATAATTGAAACTTCCTATAATATATCCAGTTTGGTGAAGGTTTTTGTATCTGTCACCTTGCGGTTCAATGCCCTGAGGTGACATCAAAAGCACAAACTTTCCATCCAGCTCAAAAAAGTCCGGGCACTCCCACATATAACCCAATTTCCCGTCAGATTCACCCAACACAGTCAAAAATTCCCAATCAAACAAATCCGAAGATCTGTAAAGAAGAACTCTGCCTCTTCCATCGTCTGTCTTGCTTCCAATAATGACGTACCAGTACTCTCCATGTCTCCACGCTTTCGGATCTCTAAAATCGGGTGACCCATTAGGTGACCTAGGTATCACTGGGTTTCCTTCATACTTTACAAACTTCACACCATCTTCACTAAAAGCCAGGTATTGGGATTGGTTAACGTGCTTACCATCATCTATGTGGGCCGTATAAATAAGGACCATTGTATCGTCGGCAACAACAGCACTACCTGAGAAGCAATATTCTTCTCCAGGAATCAACGCAGTTGGCAGCCATTTCCAATTGACCAGATCAGGGCTTGTCACGTGTCCCCAATGCATTGGACCCCACACACTGTCGTAAGGATAAAATTGGTAGAAAAGGTGGTATTCGCCCTTGTAATAGGAAAATCCATTTGGGTCGTTGATCCATCCTACAGGAGCAGCGACATGATAATGCAATCTGTATCTTTGATTTATCTCCGGTTTTTTGTTTTGTATGTACTTTTCTAGTTCTTCTATAGCACTTTCCGTTTGTTTGACCACTTGGCCATTTATAAATGCTACTAATGACAATACGAATAACAACCTTGGACTCGCCATGGTCATGAAGTTGTGAGGATAATCGTCTATGCCATGTTTTATATAATATTTTCAAGGTGTCGTTGATAAGATGGATGGTGTTCTACATAAGTGAAATAAGTAATATAAAATGGTGAAACTTTTTTCTTGGAATTCTAATATTCTTTAAAAATGAAATTAATACAAACCGTAATAAAAGAAAAATGAAAAACAGTTTTCACAAAGCATCACTAAATATACCTTTATACGTGGTTATTATTAATATTAAAACAACCTGATGGTCTACAAATTTTAGTTATGTCACCGACATACATACAACGCGGAATAAAAATTATTTCAGGATGATGTAGGGTCTACCACGCCTTTGCAGCACATTAGGCATGTTCGCGAACGCGCGTATTGACAGTTTTAACGTGATAACACGCGAGAAACCTGCGTACCTGGTACGTCGCGTGCCTTGTGCGTTTGATTTGGGACTACCCTTGCGAAATGTGGACGCATTGAAACTCGGTTCAAATGGGTTCCAGGCGCTTGGTAGATAATCTAATATGACGACGCCCTTATTAATAAAGGGTATAAGATTTCTGTAACTAACATAAAATTAGTAGGAACACCTTTTCGTTTGACACAATCCTGAGGTCACGTGTGTGTACCAAGATTAACCTCCTGAGTCCTGAGTTTTAAAAAAAGCATGTGTCGTTATGACCGAATGTTCTTTACATAGCACAAAATTTATATTACCTGTGAGCCCTGAACATTGAAGTCCAGTTTAAACTACTTTAAACTGTTCCATACATTTTTCTCTGGAACAAAAGGTTTTTTATAAATGTGAAAGGAAAATTATTCACGAAATTAAAATGCCCATATATTTGTTCTTTCTAAAGTAAACCTGGTCTTAATATAATCACAAAGAAATAGAGTTAAAATATCTATTTTAGTAGAACAGTTGTACTTTTCAGTCTTACAAGGTAAATATTTCACGAGAGAGTATATAAATAATGTAGCAATACCGTATGAAAACGAATTGAATCAATAAGCATCAAAAATAGCGAAAATTTGTAACAAAAACAAAACAAGGTATATTTTAACATCAAAAAGCACTTCGAAGTAATATTACATGGATTTTACTCAAAATATCTAAATACTATTGAGATCTAGAGACTTAAGGGCTTTACATGTTAGTTATGTGTCAAATTATCATTGAGATCAATCAGTACAGTAACATAAATTCACTTATTCTTAAAAGTTTCAATAGCCGCCATATTTATTAAGTTAATTTTGACCAAGAAACAAACAATCTAAAAAATATAATAGAAATATCAACCTCTAACTAAACAAATCGACTCACCCATAGAACAAAGACTGCTTGTTCTCACGACGTAGTACATTTTGTTCGTTCTTTTTCACTGTGGATGTTAGGCCGACCGTTGTTCGATTTGGTATTTCCGAAACGAAATAAGACATATAAATTCTCAAAACACCTGTACATAGGCCTTAGTTTGAATAAAGAAATTGTTCTCGTAATGTACTTATTCTCTTTTTGCCAATAATCACATCGGACTTTGTTCTTCGGATAAGTCGAAATGTTTATGAAACTTAATAAAACTTTGAGTGTAGGGGTATTCAATTTCTGACTCACTACGGCTTGTATCACTTTCTTCTCCGTCGTCTCTCAAATCGTCGATATCAGGTTCTTCCTGTGTGGGATCCTCGTCATCGTTTGCATCTTCTACTTCAGATGCATTTAAAATCTGATTGAATTCGTAATCTTGTAGTACTACAAGTTAAAAATACAAATTATAAAAGTGAAACGTCCCTTTTAACCGACTTCAAAAAAGGAGGAAGCTCTCAATTCGAATTTTTTTTTATGTGTAGGTGTGTTACGCGATTATTTCATATTGTGAACCGATTTTGATGGTTACTTTCTGTTGCAAAAAGGGTACCTCAGTATTCTGCCTTCGTAACAAAAAAACACAGCAGTTGTGCCTTTTTTGGTTTCGAGAGCAGTATTAATCCCATTTAAATTTGAAGAAAATATTTCAGTTCAAATTAGGGGATGAAACCGGCACTTTCCGTTAACCAAATTCAATAAAACTTAACTTAAAACGATAATTCCAATAAAAAAGCCGATAAGAAAACTTTGAGGATTTTTTAATAGTTATAATTATAAATATAATTTATTATTATCTATTTTAGAAAGTGCAGTATTACTAAATAGCGACCGGAAATGATTCGTGTAAAAAAAATAATGAAGTGAATTAACTATATAATAACCGGACATACTTTACAAAGAACAAATTCAAAATCTACGTTTTTACTGAAATTGCATTGTGTATTCCGTGAAAATAATACAATATTATGATAAAACACGTATTTGGTAGTATAAAAACAAAATAATTTGCCAAAATTAATAAAAAAAATTGATATATAATTCATTGATCCATTAACTTGTTTACAGCGAGCCGCCGTTGTCACCTGCTCGTGGCCGAATAATTATTCAAACAGGCGGTTTATTTATTAACTTTTGATTTTTGTGAGAAAGACAGACGTATAAGCTTTCATAATATTTTTTCCTGTTCAAATATGATCATTTCGGGTTACTTTTTTTCTAAATAAATTAATTAGTTCTTTTAAAAGACATAAAAATCTGACGGGTTTTTGTTGTTAGTTTTTTCACAAATAAATTTTTATCGAATTTTTAGGTTTTCGCGATTGTTACACATAGGAAATGAAACTATTTTTCCGGATTTAAATCGCGTATATTTGTTTTTTCAAATAAACCGACGTTGACTGAGTCAACCGTGACCATGGGACCTGTAAAGGGCCCGAAACGAAACGAAACGAAATTCCTAAATTAATTATTATTACGTTTTGAGTTTCTTAATTGTTTGGTTTTGCACCGGTTTGATACCGGTGCTGCTTTTAGGGCATAACCTTAAGTACCGAACGGTGAGCTCCTTCGAGCCCAAGCATTTAAGAAACACCTACCCCACAACACGCTGAAATGCAATAACTCAGAATTGATTGACACAAGGCGGTGTAGATGGAGGCTGGGAGAGTTTTGTCAGCAGAATTACCCATTAATAATTTCGTTTTCTTAAACCTTAATAGGGACTGGTGGAATATACCATCCTTAGAAATGTATTTGTCCTCTAAATTTAGATGTATAGTGAAGTAATGTTGTAACACATATATCTCAGAGCTGCCATTACGTGGACCGAAACACAATATGCAGAACACCATCCAGATTGTTGAAATAAAGTGTTTTGTTTAGCGCCTAAGAATTTGATTGTTATCTGACTGATATACATGCAGGTGAGTTAGGCTACTTTACACTACTCGAGATACCATTATCATGAGTATTGTTTTGTACTAATACATGAACAGGAATTCTTCGAATCAAGCGTTTCAACTTGGAAAATGTAGTTATTCAGAATTTTCGATCTTCCGTCCACCTTCACGTGGACGACCATTGCTGAATACCGCTTGTTTTTCTCCATAAAATAACTCTAAAAAACTGACAACCAGGCATCTCCTCCAAGACAGAGAATATTAAATCCTGCAACTGAGTACCTTTACTTTACTGTAATTCACATCTCCGTCTATAATAATTTCTACCATCTTGTTAAAGTCGTAGTTTTGACTTGTCCCCAATTTGACAAATGTTGATCTCGAGTTCTTAGGTTTTCGCGATTGTTACACATAGGAAATGAAACTATTTTTCCGGATTTAAATCACGTATATTTGTTTTTTCAAACAAACCGACGTTTCGGGCCCTTTACAACCGTCAACCGTTTTCAACCGTGACCATGGGGCCTGTAAAGGGCCCGAAACGTCGGTTTGCTTGAAAAAACAAATATAAAAAAATATTTTAAAAAAATATACGCGATTTAAATCCGGAAAAATAGTTTCATTTCCAAATGTTGATCATTCAGTAATTATGGTAACATCGTGAGAAATCTAGGTGAAGGTAGTCGTCGACAGCGAAAGAGTCGAGAGGTAGACAGAGAGAGGGTAGTGTGTTCTTAAAGCTATCATCTGCCACTGTCAACCCGTGACTATGGAGCTTGTAAAAAATCGGGATAATAAAAAGAAATCATAGTGATCGTGATAAAAAACCTGTAATTAGTGATAATCATATTTATAATCCGTTTTTTTTTGAAGATGGAGTAAAATTACATTTGTAGGGTTGCCAGTTTTCATAAAATTTTAAATAGTTATGTAGTTGTTGTCGATATTTTTATCGATAGATTGTGAAAGAAGATAAAATTTTGCCAAAAATGAGTGAATTGTGAATGTTGAGAGACCATTTTTTATTCATATACATTTTAACAAGAACAGCCGTATTTCATTATCTATGTATATTGAATTAAAACGAAAAAGTTTAAAATATGTTTCCTCCTTGTATTTTTCATATACATAGTTCTAAATACAGTGTATAATAATAATAATAACGCACACACTCAACATAGCCCCGCACTAGGGAAACCCAGTGTCGCGGGTGCCATGGACACACACATAGACATCCACAAATGACACTCCAAGAGAAATAAATGTAGACCATACAAATATTTCTCCCGGCCCGGGAATCGAACCTGGGACCTCTGCGTGGCACTCCGGCAAGGTAAGCGTTCGGCCACGGAGGCAGTTTTCTAATGCTTCATAAATGCATACTATTTTTAATGGATCCATTACTCTATTACGCCACAAACAACCCGTATAGATGCTTAAAAGCAACTAAATAAAATACGTTCGTCTGACGCTCCAACCGAATTTCAGTCGAGCGCAAACTGCGCAACTCAAAAAACGCAACTCACTACTCACAAAATTACGCTCCTCTGGCCTCACCCTCACACTGGAAAGACGCTAGTGTGGCGCGTCTCTAAAATGACAAAAGTGCATCGACAATAATGGTCGAAACCTGGGTTAATTAAATATATAAATTTAAAAAATATATTTTTATTAAAAAAAACTTTACAATTATCTCTGTATAAAACGGCAATTTCATAGGTGGTATATGG